GAGAGAGAGAGAGTGTGTGTACAGTTTTAAATACATCAGTCACTAAATATATGCAATGCGATTGTACCGTTCCACAAAATATTTAACGCTACATTACACAGTTAAGCCTAATCTACAATGTGCTCTTTGCGTCTAGAAACACTTCTACTTTGTAGTCAATAAATATACCTTTAAAAAAATTGCGTAAGTATAACAGATAAATTGTATATTGTATATTATACACTGTACAGCCGTACACTGTCGACAAATTTTTTAAGCGTTTTGATTTGTTTATATAAAATAGAATGTTTCTAGATGCAGAGAGCACATTGTAGATTAGGCTTTACATAATTAAGATTCCAAGCAACGGGGGGGGGGGGCAGCAGGCCACATTTCGAAATGAATAAACAAGACAGCTGAATGTATATCTACTGAGGTGACCGGCGATAAGAAAGAAAACAGGGGGAATAAATATCCATATAAAAAGGAAAGGTGTACTAGCGCAGCGTAGACATTCGAAGACAAGATGACTGTTAAAAAGATAAAGCTATTATGTTGCAAACCAGAATAGAAAAGGAGCCTCGACGTGAATGGAGAAGGAAATATCGGTATTGCATATCGTCCTCTTCGTCAGCCTCATTAAAATTCAAACGCGTGCTCGATAAGCAGACACTCCAATCCTTCTGTCTTGTCTTATCGGCGAGCTGTAAATTTCTGCATGTCACCAATATGAATCTCTTACATTTTTAATTTTCCAGCACCCTGACCTTGGACGGCGCTCAAACACTTTGTTCCCCCATGTAATTAACTTCGAATGGACGTCACTTTCAATCGTTGTTTGGCAATATCGCCGCTTATCTTATTGACGTAAACAACACGCACTTTCTAGACGCAATTTCGCCGCTTTCCCGCTAACTGTTTCACTTATTATTGAAATACCCGACCGCTAACGAAATATGCGCATACGCAAAACGCGATAATCCTAGAGTTGATTAATGAAGAAAATCTATCGAGGCCGCTTTTCGAACGCTTCGCGCGCCGTCGGGTCGCCGCCTCCCCCCGCTGCTCCGCGCCGCGCCGTGCGCAGGCGCGCGCGCGTGCGCGCGCGCGCACACGTTCATATATATAACGCCGTGCGTCGATAGGACGAGAGCAGGCAAGAGCAGGGCGGAGAGATCCTTGGGAGAGAGCGCGTGAGAGCATCGGCGACTGTTTCCCCATTGCGCGTTTCAATTGCGATCTGACGGAGCAGTTGCGACGCCCCTAAATCTTCTTTACTGCCGCCGACAATTTCGGGAAACATGCTCCGTCTCTTCGTGCTGGTCGCGGCGCTCGCCGTGCTGATCGACGCGAGCTTCATAAGGTGAGTGTGCGACAAGTACCGATTGGAGATCGCGCTCCCAACTTCTCGTAATCGACACAGGACCCGCGATATAACCTACGACGATAACCGGACCGAGTCCGGATGGATATTGATTTCTTCCGGTCGGAGTAAAGCGGGCGGAGACAAAGAGACGGATCTCGGGGGATTCCCTCGAGACCCGTGCGATCTCGGTTTCCCTGCGACGTCTTGAAACGAAATTGGCGAGTCACGAACGGAGCCATTCGCATTTAGACCGATTTGTAAATAGATGAGTATAGACAGCGGCGAGCTGATGTTCCTGTGTTTACTTCTTCTGTTTATAAATAGACGAAGTGGCAGTTATTTCCTTCGTACGTTATTAAGATAACGAGAGGTCGAACTCTATCGAGTTGAAATGGCCGTATCGCGCTTTCAGATATGCGCAAATCGTAATCTAGAAAGAGACCAATTTTTGATTGTCGGATCGAGTTAAAGTGTTTATGCGCTTATATATAGTTAATCGCCGATATTTACATTGCGCAAGAAGGTTTCTAGGACAAAGATTAAATTTGCATGGCTCTTTCATGACTCATTGTTTTTGGAACGACTTCACTTGCAACTGCGAAGATATTTATATATAAGTTATCTCTTTGTTCTCTGTGCACAAACACACACACACACACACATATACACATATATATATTATATATAAATATCTCAGTTAATTGGCGATGCACATGCACGTGTACAACATAGTAGAATATTCTTTATGTTGCTTTAAGAATTCCGCTACAAAAGATACAGTCCGTTCGAAGTTCTTTGAAAGAGGTTGGCACCGAGCTGAGGCAGGTTCGTTTGGCCATGTCAGATGTTCCTCCAAACGGAACGGAAATCCTACGTAATTACATGGACGCTCAATATTATGGCGACATCACGATTGGTACTCCACCGCAGCCGTTCAGAGTGATCTTCGACACCGGCTCCTCAAATCTCTGGGTACCGTCCAAAAAATGCAGCTGGACGAACATGGCTTGCTGTAAGCACATTACGATATCGCTATTTCTCTTTGTCGTTCCATATATTATTCATACGTGTACACTTAACATTCAATATATTATTATTCCAAACATCGGAGTGGTCTAATTGCGTGTTTCCTTTCTCATAATTGATATTGAGTAAAATTGTAGAGTAGAAGTAACGCTGTAGGAAAGTCTTTAAAGTGGCAGTTTCGACGAAACAGATCATTGATAAATATTATGGAGCCAAGTCTCACAATTGCCTTACAGTCGTGTTTATGTGATTTATCATTCCTATTCTAAAGATATAAATGACCTTCGACACAAGATAGCTTACGTGTTAAGGCAGACAGTATAAGTACAAATACATCTGATGATTTACATTACTGTCGATTACACATTTAAATTAATATGAAAATGGATTCCTAAAATCGTTAATGTCAACCAACGTAATTTTACTCACTTTTTTTCAGTGCTACATCATAAATATGATAGTTCAAAGTCCAGCACGTATGTGAAAAATGGTACTGCATTCGCCATTCAATACGGAACTGGTAGTCTGGCTGGGTTCTTATCTACCGATGTAGTAACCGTGAGTCATTTGTTGAACAAACAGTCTCGTACTCCCGACCATAGTCATAATCTATAAAAATTCCCTAAAACATATACATATGTCGGTACTACTTTTTAAGTAAAACGCGATTTTTTTATTAATATCAATCTCGTTGTAGGTCGCTGGTCTTTCTGTTGAGAACCAAACGTTTGCGGAAGCTGTGTTTGAACCAGGAATGACTTTTGTTGCTGCGAAATTCGATGGTATATTGGGAATGGCTTACGCCTCAATAGCCGTCGATGGCGTAACTCCCGTCTTTTATAATATGGTCAAGCAAGGCTTGGTGTCGGAACCTGTTTTCAGTTTCTATTTAAATCGGTACGCATCTTCTTTCCGTCTACGCGTCGCATGTATCAATAAATTTTTTTTTATTCGATAATTTTTTCATATTGCAATGTAAAAAAGTATATAATCTGTACAGAGATCCCTCGGCTATTGTGGGTGGTGAAATGATATTGGGTGGCTCTGATCCCAAGTATTATGAAGGTAATTTTACGTATGTTCCTGTTACCCGCAAAGCATACTGGCAATTTACCATGGATAAGTACGTGATTATTTTCTAAATTACATGTATATCATAATTATCGATCGCATGTCAGCAAATTGTTAACACTATCACGCTGTAGGATCGAAGTGAAAGACGACACCTTTTGCCGGCATAGCTGTCAGGCTATCGCCGATACGGGTACCTCCCTGATAGCTGGACCAACGGCAGAAGTTAAGAGTATTAACAAATTGATTGGAGCTACTTCTTTTGGTTCAGAGGCAATAGTAAGTAATCGATTATACTTCTCGCATAGTAGCTTTTAACGTTGTTACATAAATTGCTCAAATAAATTAATAATTGTTTGATGAGTTATTGATTACGAATATGGATTATTAACGAAGGGAGAGTTTGCTTATTGTCACCAGTAATGATTAAAAATTGAGAAGGGAAACTTATAGTCAATCCAACTGGCTAGTTATTTAATTAGTTTATTACACAACGTTTCGACCCTATTCTTTTGGGTCCTTTTCGAGTGTTTGCTAACCACGGTCTCTTTCGTCTTTATTTATGTCATTTTTATGTTCTTCTCACAGTCGTTGCAATTAATACGGTAGATGACCTCGGTTTTTGTCCCAATTTAACTGATCTTTAACTCTTTTAATAATTTTATCTAATTTTTTTTTGGGACAGTGTAGATGGTGTTTAGACCTGTTTTTTTTTTCAAATTTGTGCTAATTTTGTCTGTCGATCCTTTAATAGGGGAGGATAATTTTAGGGTCGAAACTTTTTTTATTAGTGGTCGCGCAATCAGTATGAGTGGTGTCCCATCTGGATTATTATAATGGATTATTAACATTAACCATTATTTGAAGGTAAACTGCAACGAGATGTCTCAGATGCCTACGATCACTTTCGTCTTAGCTGGTAAGCCGTTCCCACTCACTCCTGAAGATTATGTTCTTAAGGTAAATATCGTGGCTCGTATGGTGGTTTAAATTACTTTAGAACAAAAATATCATGCTACATTTAATTTTCCGTAGGTCACAGAAATGGGTCGTACGATTTGTATGAGCGGCTTCATGAGTATGGATACGCCTGGATCGTTATGGATTTTAGGCGACGTATTTATTGGCCGGTACTATACCGAATTTGATTTGGGAAATAACCAGGTGGGATTCGCCCCAGCAAAATAAACAATTGCCTTCTCAATCTGAAGTTACCGTTAGCTGCTAGAAGATCTAAATGGTCTAAGATCTAAATAACTCCGCGAATAATTACGTAAAATATTTTTTAACAGTGTAGGAAATTTGATAACCGACACAACTGGCAATTTTAATTAAAGACAATTAATCGCGAAAAAATATCACCTCAGCCAGGGTACAATATTTTTTAAGCATCGACTTCTCATTATGCTTATTGCCTTGAAATTTTTTACTTGTGATCCATGCGTTGTTACGTTGTAAACAAATATGTATGTGATACTTTAGAAAATTAGAACGAAAATATGCGATATTGTTTCCACAATGTGGTGTACCTCTCCATTCTGTATAGAATTGTACTGTTGCAAGGTATATATATTGAATACAATTAAGTCTATTATAATAAAATAAGTATTCTTTCCATATGCTGTACATTGCTTTCATATATCCTCCAATTTTACATGTTTAAAAAGTTTTATGTTATAAAGATGAGGTAAATGTATCAACTTACAAATTATAATGAATGTGTAAATGATCAACAGTTACTGCACTGTTCATTTTATATTTCTAAAATTATTTGCAAACCATATAAGGATGAGAGCTGATAGTTTCTATAGCGTGAAATATAAATATGGATTGTTGAACAAATGTAAATAGTATTCGCATATATTTCGTTGCTCGCTGCGGAAAATTCTAGCTAGTAGAATAAAACATCTGGTATAAAGAATAATATTCTGTATAAATGTATTATACAGTGTTTAATTTTAATCACCCAAGGCGAATAACTTGAAAAATATGAAAGATACGAAAAACATTGTAGATAAAAGTTGTTTGGTTTGAAGGGGAACATAAGATGATGTCATTGAAACATGCCAAGTTGATATGGAATCCAATTTTATTATTTTTGCCTAGAGTGATTAAAATAAAACACTATAACAGCAATTCTCGACATATACAATATTCAATTATAACACAAAAACCTGTAAACAATCAAAATATATTATTCCGCATTTAGTAACAAAAGAATCGCACTTGCCGAAAACTACATGCCAGTTTCTTTTTGCTTGACTGCGTGAAGTCCATAAAAAATTGCCGTGCACGATGACCAAGACCATCGATTTGACAATGGATTCATTTTCATCCCATGAATTAATCTCGTTTTGCATCCGTCTGTAAGAGTTTAAAAAAATATATACCTGTATACAATCGTACATATATTATCTTTCTACAACGAACGGAGCTTATCAGAATAATTTTTCCCAATTTTCTCGTAAAATTGACAACAGGGATAAAACTTACAACTGTCCAATATACGTTGGACTTCGTGCGGAGCCATAAATTTATTCCATTCGTGTGTACCAAAAGGCACTCTTCCGAGGATGTATTCGCCTCCTACGATAAGAACCAACCAAGTTGCTAGAGTTCTGTTCTCCGTTGTTATAAAAATTGAGCCTCCAGGTTTCATTATTTTCACGCACTCCTGTTGAGAGAACATCCGCGAGACATTGAATTTTACGTTTATTTTACGTACAACAATTCTTCGTAACTTACTATAATATTGTACCTTTAGAAATAGTTGCGGTTCCTCTACATGCTCCAGAACCTCAGACGCTACAACAGCATCGTACGATTCCGCCTCCTGTTGGGAAAAGTCTTCCACCCTTGTCTGAATGTAGTTCAACCTCTCCGATATGCCGGGATCCAACTGTGCGTGCTCTTTGGCAACGTTTATTAACTCCGCCGACGCATCTATTCCAGTTACTTGCGCTCCTATTCTGGCTAAACGCTCAGCCAGTATACCACCGCCGCAGCCAACATCCACAATCTTCATTCCTTTCAGCGGAAGAGCTGGGTCTCGCATCTGAGCTCCAGCGTTCGCCAGTCCGTCTCTCACGAACTTTATTCGAATCGGCGCGTATAAGTGAAGATCAGCAAACGGGCCGTTCTCGTCCCACCAGGCATTCTTGAAGGCAGAAAGGTGCTCAACGTCCTTAGGATTCACTGTCGTTATCGGTCTAGCGAGACTATTGAGACGCATAGTATTTTCCGATAATCTACAACAAGCAATGAATCTTTATTTCCTTATGTCCTTAACACAGACACTTTTAGTCCCAGTCTACAATAGATGATTTAAGCCCTAAGCTTTAAGAAATTGGCCAATCACGGTCAAGTATGAGTAGAATGCGCGACTGTGATTAGTCAATTTATTAAGGCTTAGGGCTTAAATCTCTATTGTAGACTGAGACTTATGTAACATACTTGTACAATTATAAGATTTTGTCTTACACACGCACACACACATCCACATATTTTAGAGATAAAAGTACATGCAGAAATTGACAAAATAAATATTTAAAAAAAAGCTTGTCATTTATCACATGATTAGATAAGATTGAAAGACATAATTAAATACGACACCTGTTTCGAAAAACACTCGATGGTCGGGCGATACGTCTAAAGATGTTCGAAGCCATCGTGTTCGGTCACAATTATACACACAATCTAAAAATCGAGTTACGTCAAGAGCTATTTGTCACGCAATAAAAATACATAGCAAAATGTATATAAAAATTATGACTTTTCAGAAATAACTAGCTAACTAAAATGTGCACGCAAAAATATTAATTTTGCACCAAGCTCCAGCTCAACCGTACAAGGCATTGTTATTATTTGTATTATGAAAATCACCAATGATTTTTTTTTATTTCCCTCTGCGGGGACGCCGTCCAACCGCTAGGTTATTTGGCGTGAAATCACCAATGTTGTTTCCCAATCAGGTGGAACTTCACACTTTGATGTGGCACGTATTAGGTTAAGTAACGACGATAAACGGAAATAAGGGATATTGTATACTTAGATTCATTTATGTATGTTGCCGAACATGTCGTCTGCGTGCAAATTGTATCTCGATTTGTGACAGACGGTGACAACTAGACATTCCCGAATTTACGTGCCGTCACACACGCGTAAGTGAATATCTGCTCCTCGCAAATGAACTTCCTGCACCAGTGCAGACAACGCGCACTACTAAAATATTGTAATACAAGACGCATACAAATTTTTTTTAAACGTATTGATTGACTGCAAAATGGAAATAATGTTTGGATCATGCAAATATTTTATTTCCAACATCAGATGCTAGCAAACAACGGCACAATTTACTGGATTTAATTAAAAACTGTTACTTTTTAATGAATATAAATTTTAACTGAATATTTACTGGTATATTAATCAAATGAAACAGGGTCAGTTCTCAGACAGATTTTCAAAATGCATTTCAGCAAAACTTCATTACGTTTTCGGTAAAATATTTCCACCAGAGAAAGAGTATATGTAATAATGCTTTAAAACAACACTTTGTTGTTCTTTGTTGCTGCAAGAATCCATTATTCTGTACATATATTACTGCGTGAGAATAATAATAATCAGTATTACGGGAAGATATTTATTTAAATTATTTTCTCACTAATGTCTCTCTCTCATTGAACTTCCTTAGATATAAATATAAATTACGCGTCTCTTAATTGTTACTAAATTGTTACTTCTTGCTAAACTGCTTTTTACAATATTTATTTTTACAAACTTTACATTCTATAAAATATACACGTCCTCTGTATCTCACACAAGATTTCCAGATCTTGAATACACGAGCTAATAATGGATTCGTTATACAACAAATTCTTTCAGACATGCGAAAATCTAGGATTGTTCCGAATGTTTCGATCGAAGTGAAGAAATTTTTTAAAAATTCTTGAATAGATACCTCGAAGACTTTTGAGAGGGGAATTTAGGAATGTCCATTAATAGCTACAGTAAAATCAACATTAGACACATTGTCTCCTGTAAAATTAACGTAACGATTGCTCGAGCTAAAATTTACGTCTGCGGAATACTCGTACGTATTCGGAGGCCATGCATATCTCTGATTTCTTCTTTAAGAACCTGCGAAAAAAAACAGATTAATTGCAACATACGTCTGATACAATTACAATTTTGCTAGGGAGAAACTGCATTAAGCCCGTATCAGACTACGGATTGAGATTGGGATTAGATTGAAATTTGACCAAGCAGAGTTAAAGTTACTGAACTCGCGATTAGTAAACTTCACTGTGATTGGTTAAATTTCAATCTAATCCCAATCCCAATCCGTAGTCCGATACGGGCTTTAGGCTTTACCTCGTTAATGATTCGATGCTGTTTTACAGTATTCAGCCCCTTGAACTCTGGGGCGACGACATTTATGTCGAACATAGCGCCGCAACCTCCTAAGACACAACCACAATTGTATCGGTCATTAAGCGTATTCTTCAAGAAACTTTCTTCTTCTGACGAGTATACGTGGGGTGAAACAATTTTTACCTGACACATCGGTAACTTCGATCAGTTGAGCCTGTGGGAATCTGTTCCTCAGGATGGATATCATCTTCTGCTCGGCATGCTCGCCCGCGAGCACGCCATTGGATCCGTTCCACAGTCGAGATAGCAGCTGCAACAGTTTGGTTTTATTCATCTTTCTTTCTACGGTCCCCTTTTACTTTCATCGCTTATCTATAGCATGCAAATTATTGTTCGAGAGAGATAAGCAACGCCGAACTTAAATGAAGAAATTAGTATCATTTAAAACATTTTGATAAATTCGTGCGTCCGCCCTATTCACAGAAAGACGCTCTTATCTATTATAGAAACAAATCTATTTGCAAATGTAACTATACAAACATTATACAGATTGTATTCAATAACAAATTTATATTTTACACGCATGTTTAATAATAAATGTGCCTCTCTCAGGCAATTAAGCAACAGTTATCGAACTAGGTAAATATTTAAAGCTTCAGGGACTCAGCCTAGACACACACATTTTTATCGAAATCCAAGACGAGTTCCTGCAATTAAATATTCACCACGAATTATGTAGCTGGAAAATTTGCAAAATTACGTCGATTACATTAATCGCCGATTGAGCCGATCGAAGTTTGGTACCCTAGAAAAATCCGGATACGCGAACCATGTGGGTCGGCTTACCGATACACTGCGCGAGCTCGACGTGAACACGCGTCGAAACATAGCCGGGCAAGTCGCGGCGTGGCCGGTCCCCGTTTATCCCTCGCCGAGGCCCGATCGTCCCCAGGTCCCTTCCTGTCGCGTATGCTCACGAAAATCGACGGCAAATAACGCCTGCCAACGCTCATCGGTTCACACGTAACCTAACCTGACCATAGGTTAGGTTCACACGTAACCTAGGGATTAGGTTAGGTTCACACGTAACCTTAGGGGTTAGGTTCACACGTAACCTTAGGGGTTAGGTTAGGTTAGGTTGGGTTGTGTTGGGTTGGGTTAGGTTAGGTTAGCGCTGATCAGCTAATTTCTGGAGATACCGAGGTATCCTATTTGGTTTGTCCTAGAAAAACACAATAGAAATCTAGGAAATAATTGAACAGATAATACCAAACTGTTTAAAACCGTTTATCATTATTTTTGTAATATTAATAATTCTACGTGGAAACAAAACAAAATATATAACATTTCTGTAGATGTGTTGCACAACTTTGACAAGGTAAATAATTTTGAAAAAAGTTTCCATACATTTCTTCGAGTTACAGCAATTTTTTTTTATTCGCGTTAGATCAATTGACTACGCGAAATTGAGAGAACCAAGTATAAGTACTTGTTCTTTGTTCGTTCGCGAACGATAGCGCGTGGACCAAAAGAATAGAATCATCCGATCCAGAGATAAAAATAAAACGCCCTCTGTCAAGTTTTCTTATCGCGAGATATAAAGTTGAACCGCATGCATTATGCTGATCTATGCATCTCACGCGCGTTCGAGAGACGCAGCGGTTCGAGAGAAAAGCCTGGAGCAGGATTGAGTCGAGAGACGTGTTTCGCTGCCACGCGCCCTTTCTTTTAACAATTAGCGCGTGCCTTCAATTAAACCTCAGAATTGTGACCTCTGCCCAGTGAGGCACTTGCGAACCTCGTGCACCGGAAAGTGGAGGAGGAGAAGGGGAGGAGGAATTCATCCGAGCGACGAAGAGCAAGTGGAGCAACGTCCGCCGCGAAACGCAGCGTCACAGTCCGATTCGCGATCGTATCGAGCATGGATCATCTGGTGGACGATTCCGAGTCGCTTTTTACCAACAATCTCCTGTCGACTGGGCCGAGCTCCTTGGGTACGCGTGACAATGGAAACAATGACGCTCGAAGAGGTAATGCAATAGGGAACGATGCTACAATAACATGCGACACGAGGTTGTTGTCTCGCGGATGATTTTCGAGAAACGTTATCTGAGACAATCGCGCAAATTGCGTCGTCGGTTAATGAAAACAGAAACCCGAGGAGCTGATTAAACGCCCAGTAAACACCGACTAACAGTTACATAACGTCAATCGTTATTTCTAACTCGACAACAAACATGTAACATATGCTGCGACTTAACAATATAAGTGTGACGGTTGTTAGGAAGTTAATGTTTTATTAGATTAATATCCTTTTTCACTTTTAATTATTTAAGATAAACTTAGGGAGGCTCCTGCATAAATCGACCAAAAGTAGAAAAAAAATGAAATTTAAGTGGCTGCAAGTTTTATCTGTCAGCAAAATTTTGGAGTCCGTCGTCGATGAAATGAAAGAAAGAAAAAGTATTAAAGTTTTACCTTTTAACGTAGGGGCGTTGAGCCGCTCACTCGCAGAAGCACTTTAAGGGTTAACATTATTTCACAGAAAAAGTAGATCTTAGCAAAAAAACGAGATGTACATAATAAATGTCATAAGGATTCAAATGCGCTGTTAAATCCACGAGGTCACCGACCTCTGCAAGAAAGCACTTATTAGTAAAGTCAAGAATTTAACGTCACATATTTTTAAACGTGCATATATATCCTAGCATATCAGTGTATTTGATCAACAATGTGTTAAATAATATTTTGTTCATGAAGGAAATCGTATGAATTTACAAAAATAAAAAGGGCTTCGCCAAAGCACCCATACTGTCCGCTTCTTCCTGCAGGAGCCAAAAAACTCAAAGTCAAAACTAGAGAGGATTCACGTTGATGTGGAAGATTTATTAATGCAGCAAATTTCTTGGATGCCACAGGTGCTGGCATCTTCGGGACAATCTTTTTGATCGTCAACACCACGCTGGGGGCTGGATTGTTGAACTTCCCGCAGGCCTTCGACAAGGCCGGTGGGGTGGGAACCTCCGTCGTGGCCCAGCTTGGCTTTCTCGTTTTGATCACAGCTGCCCTGGTGATATTGGCCAGCTGTAGCAACAGCACGGGCACCGACACCATGCAGGACACATTCGCCGGACTGTGCGGCTCCAAATCGCTCGCCTTCTGCGGAATTTGCGTGGCCATTTACAGCTTCGGCTGCTGCTTGACATTCCTCATAATCGTCGGCGACCAGTTCGACAGGGTGTTTGCTACGTACTATGGTCTCGACTACTGTCACACGTGGTATAATCATCGTAGACAAGAGAGAAGGAAGGCGAAAGGGTTGCCGTTCTCCGTTACTTTAGTAGAAAAACCATTTCATTTTCTAGGTATTTATCCAGACCGTTTGTGACGGCTGTGTCCTGCAGTATATTTATACTGCCTCTGTGCTTCTTTAAAAGACTGGACGTTCTGAGTTACGCGAGCTCCGTCGGTTGCGTTACCATCGTATACGTCGTGTGGCTCATCGTTTACAAGAGCTTCACCGTGCAGGACGGTACTGTGCCGCCTATAAAAATCTGGCCGAACAATGGATACGAGGTTCTGCAGATAATACCCATCATTTGTTTCGCTTACCAGGTACGCGTGATTCTTAAATAGAAACGTAGACACCCGATAACAGGTGCACCTTGTACGCGGGGGGTAATGCAATTTGATAAAATACATCACAATTTTCGAATTTTTCATTCGCGCGCCTTAAAACTAGTTGTGCTAAAAAATCGAAAGGTGAT